GTTCGAAGAGCGTTCAATTACCGTTCATTTCCGTTCGAAGAGCGTTCGTTTCCGTTCGAAAAGCGTTCAATTACCGTTCAATTACCGTTCATTTCCGTTCGAAGACCGTTCAATGACCGTTTGATAGCCATTCGATGGACGTTCGTTTCCATTCAATTACCAATTGATCGGGGTTGACACATTATATCGTGTTAATTTGCATGGGAACATGCATACTTTTGTCTTACGACGCGTTTTTGGTAAAGCGATAATGATACGTCCACCGTTTTATCTGTTCGCAAAGTCGTGATATTATATTATATTATATTATACCGCGCTGAGTTGCGTGGGATCGGGTGTACTTTTGTCTTACGACGCATTTTTGACATGGTGATAATGCAGCATCTCTACTATAAAACCTCGTGCCGAGACCTCGTTACCGCTTCATAAAGTTCTAACCGGTGCGTGTGAACAAACGAATTGGAATACAGCGACAATGGACTACATTTTCGAAAACTGCGCCGGATGGAAGCAGGCCTTCTCTAACTTGCTCTGCGTCTTATTGGTGAAACTGGCCTTCCATTGGGAGGTAAGTATTGATTTTGCGAATAATTTATATAAAATTGTACATCTATTGTACATAATACTTATATTTTTTATTTTCTAGTCCCTATCTGAAGTCCGGATACCCGGCTTTATGAATATAGAGCACCGGCAATGGGTGCGGGCGGAGCGGCGGTGGAGGAGAAACGACCTCTCCTTCATGTGGGGTGACGCTCCGGAGAGTCCACCGGATGAAGAGGACATCTTTGACCTTCGGCGGCTCTTCGGGGAAGAGCCCTACATGGAGGAGGAGATTTGGGTGCCCAGGGAGATTCGGGCACCCAATGGTGTACAGAATGGGGAGCACAGATGTAAGTATTTTTATAAATATTGTAACTATAGTTTTATATTAACGAGCATCTTTTTTTCTGTTACAGGAGCGGCCCCCTCACCTGGCTCCCCTGGCCCCTCCACCCCCCCCCGCACCCCCAAATTATTATTATTATAATTATATTATTTTATTATATTATTATTATTATATTATATTTTATATTAATCATAATTTTAAGTACATACACACACACACACACACACACACACACAAAATGTATAAAAACACGTACACATTTTAATAAATTTTATATATTCTATATCCGTAAAAAAAAATCTAATTATTTGTATGCCTCTCCTTGCGTTCCCATCCCTGCGTTAGTTATAAGCATCGCGATATCGTTCTCTCTCGTGCGTTAATCTTAAGTCTATCTTTCACGATTAGAATTAGTAATCTCTCTCGCACGCGCTAGGTGTAAGTCTATCTCTTTCTCTCATGCTTAGAATAAGTAATCTCTCGCGCTATGACACAGAAAAAATGTATAACAGATTTTAAAATAAATGTTGTTTCAATAAAAAAATGTGATTATTTACGCATCTCTCCTTGAGTTCCGTCCCTTGCGCTATCTCTCTCTCGCGCACTAGTTGTAAGTCTCGCGATATTATCGTTCTCTCTCGCACGCGTCGTCTTCACGCTATCGTTCTCTCTCGCACGCGCTAATTGCAAGTCTCGCGATATTATCGTTCTCTCTCTTGTACATGTCGTCTTGGCGCTATCGTTCTCTCTCTTTCATATACTCGTTGTTCACTTACCTTTGCGTCGTCCTTCTCCCACCTATACGTCGTCCTTGTCCCACGTTAACGCCATCCTTGTTGCACTCGTAGCACTGTCCTCTTCACACTTTGCACTGTCCTTTTCTCATACGTAGCGCTGTCCTTCTCACACCACCGTCCATCGGTTGCGCCGCGGATCCCCCTTCACCGCGCGGACCCCCTCGTCCATCTCTCGCGCCGCTGATCCCTCTTCACTGCGCGGACCCCCTCGTCCATCGCTCGCGCCGCGGGTCCTCTTCACTGCGCGGACCCCCTCGCCCATCGCTCGCGCCGCGGATCCCCCTTCACTTCGCGGACCCCCTCGTCCATCGGTCGCGCCGCGGATCCCCCTTCACCTCGCGGACCCCCTCATCCATCGCTCGCGCCGTGGATCCCCCTTCACCTCGCGGACCCCCTCGTCCATCGCTCGCGCCGCGGATCCCCCTTCCCCGCGGGTGACGTCACCCGCCGCGCGCCGCGGTTCCTCCTTCCCCGCGCGTGACGTCACTCACCCCGCACCGCGGTTCCCCCTCGCGCCTCACCCCCCCCTGAGAGGTCCTGGATTAGAACTCTCCTTGTTATACTACTTTTATGTATATTGTATATTTTATGTATATACATTCTTGATAGAATTTACATACATAGGATGTGAAATATACGTGCAAATGTAACCGGAAAAATATACATAGAAGATTCATGGTACATACATATGTACATAATTAGTACATGTAATGTATATACACTTTGTTCATCCATTCTTTATACATATAAGTACATACTATGTATTCGCAAAAAGTATATACATGATGTGTACATATATGTATGAAGAGTGTATATACTTCTCTGTATATAGATGGTATGTACATATACGTATGAAGAATGTATATATTTTCTATACATACATTCTTCATATATATGTATATACCATGTATATACTTTCTACATATACATTCTTCGTATACATATGTACTTACCCATGTATTATATATTCTTCATACATATATGTACACTGCTCGTCATTAATTTGTTCCATTTTTCTAGCAAGTTTATAGAATGTATTACATATTCTATAGATTATTTCATAAAATAACAAAAGATTAATAACATAATTTGCACTTTTTTTAAATTATTTGCTTTTTTCATAAGACAAATATTTATTGAACATATATATATATATATATATATATATATATCTTTATATCATATCTATATTTCTATCTACATATACAGTGACCGGCAAAAATAAAAAGCCACCTTAACTATAAAACTGATTTGATGCTAAAAGGTAAAAAAAATTTATTATAAAGTTTTTTATAACTAAAACTGAAAATTTATTAAGTAATTTAATGTTTTTAATTAAAAAGAAATCATTTTTTATTTAATACTGTATTTATTTCTATATAATCATTTATTTAAGAGTGACAAAATAAAAAAGCCAGTTAAGGTAACATAGTATTACGATTTAAAAAAACAACAATATTATTTTAATTAATAATTAATATGATTTCCTTTAGCCTCAATTACTTTTTGCAGTCTTTTTGGTATACTTTCAATTAAATTTTTTAAATGTTGTGGATCCAAATTCTCCCAGGCTAGTTGTAATGCTTCAAAATAAGAATTCTTGTTAGTTACTCCGCTTTTATTAATCCTATTATCCAAAATTGCCCAGAAATTTTCGATAGGGTTTAAATCTGGAGATTGCGGAGGCCATTCAAGTTGTTTAATTCGGCAGGAACGAAAAAAAGCTTGACTTTTCTTTGCTGTGTGTTTCGAGTCATTATCTTGTTGGAAAATGAAATTATCTTCTAGTCCGAGTTTCAACAAACACTCCTCCAAATTTTCATTTATTATATCAATGTAGACATCTGCTGTCATAATTCCGTTAATTTTGACAAGATTTCCCACTCCTGCCCATGAGAAACATCCCCAGACTAAAATATTTCCTCCGCCATACTTTACAGTTTTCTGAATGACGATCTTGAAGCTCTTCGCCGTGTTTTCTCCAGACTCTAATCCGCTTCTTTTGTCCAAATAACTCGAATTTGCTTTCATCTGTCCATAAAATATTTTTCCAGAAGTCCAATGACATATTTGCATACTTCCGAGCAAATTGCAAACGTTTTTTCTTATTGGTGACGCTAAAGAAAGGTCGTTTACGTGCAAACCGGCTGTGTAAATTTGCTTCATTGAGTCTTCGACGTACAGTGCGGTCAGAAACAGTAAGATAAATGTTTTCCTGAATTTCTCTAACAGTAATCTTTGGATTTTTCTTAACTTCACGGATTATTTTCATATCCTCCCGCTTGGATGTTGCTCGTTTTCGACCTCTTCCGATTCTATCTGCCACCGATCCAGTTGATTGAAATTTTCTTCTGATCTGTTCTACTGCTCCTCTACTTACTTCATAATTTTTGGCTATATTCCGTTGGGAAAGACCTTTTTGAATATCTCGCACAATTAAGTTTCGAACTTGTGTGGAAATTGATCTTCCTCCCATTTTTGACCGCGAATTTTTTGTAATAATCGAGATAAGCCAATGTTGCAAAAATGATTAACAACAACGAGAAGTGAGCGCAATAACACGAACATGTTGACATGACAACCAAACAAAATATTGTATATATTAAATCGAACAAATCTGAATGGCTTTTTTATTTTGTCAATATAATAAACAGCAATATTTAAGAAATATAAATAAAACTGAAAAGTAAAAAATAATTTATGTAATTGTAACATAAAATTTTAAAATAAATAATAAATACTTCTTCTTTCATCAATGAAAATCTCATCGTTTTAATATTTTTACTCTTTCATTAAGCAAAACAGTATAACTAGGTAAGTGGCTTTTTATTTTTGCCGATCACTGTATGTATGTATATTTATATCTATATCTATATATGTATATTTACTTAATAGTATTAAAAGGTATGATGACTGAACACAAAATTTAATTTTGAAAATAATGTTTGTTTATTGTAATACATAAAAATATATTTTTTTATATTAAATATTTATATACATACATATGTTATATGATCCCAGAATAGATGAAAAGAATTAATATATTTTTTTATCAATATATACCATATTTTATTTATTTTAATTATATAATTGCAATATTGCACCATAAACAAAAACTGCATATTTTTTTAATATTTTAAGAAAATTAAAAATTAATTCTGATTTATAGAATATAAATATATATATCAAGTAAAAAAAAAAACAAATTATATATACTGATAATTATATGTACTGAAATAATAATACTTAGATTCTATTATAGACATGTTATAATTTTTTTGTTAATAAATCAATTTTCGATTCTTTCATTTGTTTGTGGAGATCTTTCATCTGTTTGTGGAGTTCTTTCATCTGTTTGTGTTATATTTTTATTTTTATTATTATTATTGAAACGATCTTTGCTTCTCACTAGCCATGATTTTATGAAACATATTATTTCCGAATCTGTAGCCTCTTGAGTCTTCTTGTTAAGTCGTACAGCAGCTATAAATATTTTTATAAATTATTATAAAAAATATATATATTGTGTGTGTGTGTGTGTGTACATACAATAAAATATATTACATATTAAAGAGTTTTATATATTTATATTTTTAAAATTCATATTCATTTAAACATATTTAAAGTGTAATTAAATATTCAGATTAATACTTTGTTTTCTTCTAATTTTATACACAATTTTATACACAATTTAAAACTATTTTTTTATTTTAACTTAATTTGTATATAAAGTAAACTTTTATATAAACTGAATTAAAATTAGAGCCATATTTTAATAAGTATAATAATATATATATATGAGATATAAATGCATATATGAGATATAATGCCGATAAATAAAAGATATCAAAACATGTATAATGCTCGAAAATATATATGTTATGCTCTCAGTACGAAATTCTATTGCATAAAAGATATTTATTATGATATACAAAACATTTTACTACTATACGTTTTAGCTAATAGATATTAAAAATAAAAACTATATCGAATGTATAGTAATCTATTCTTAAGAGAGAATTATAATGCATTGATAAGAATTACAATAAATTATAAGAGAATAAAAGAAAGACATTTTATAAAAGCAAGTTAGTAAAACTTACAGAGAATACTCGATGCCACAATTAAATTTTAAAAAATTTTCTTTTTTTTAACTCCTTCCCATGAATAAGCCATACCAACTTCGTTAGTAAAAACGTGATACATAATCCGCCGAACAACTTCTTTAACGTTGCATCCTCCTATACGACTTAAATTTTTAGCCTAACATAATATAAGAATATGGTCATTTAATTATTTATTTACATTATTAAACATAGTGTATATAATTTTTATAGATATTTTTATATAAATATAAAAAGAGTTAAATATATAAAAATATCTTAAATATATTACAAATTACAGATATTCAAAAAATTATCAATATTCAAATATAATACTAATTTTTGACACTATTCTTTTTTTTATTTACAAGAAAAATATATTGATTTTTCTTACCAATATTGTTTTATTTTCTTCAGAATTCATTAGCCAATCTTCTAATCGAGCTAAGGAATCTTCATTTACAGGAAATGATTGAATAATATCAGGAACATTATTATTACACGTAAATGATTTTTGTGATGATTTTTCATCTGCTGTAGCTTTCAGTAGAGCATTAACTGTTTCAGAAATATCATCCACTTTTAAATTGAGTATGTGTACTTCTCTCAAAACACGTTTTTCAAATGCTAAAATAAAAATTATTATAAATATTGTAATATAGTATAATAATATTTTTCCCAAAATCTATAATTTTAAGATTATATATTTATGTGTATTGTATTACGTCTAAAGGTACGTCACGTAATTGGGAGCTCTAGAGAAAGAAACTCGATCAATACAAAATAAAACACACATGTTGTCTTAAAGAAAAAAATATGATTTTGCGAGCAGTACAAATTTTTTCTTTAAGAGCTAATGTCTGAAATATTTTTTCTATCTTTAACATAATAAATGTTAGATCTCATCCTAATTTGTGTGTCGCACTTTGTATATTATGGTAAATTATTAAATATAAAATATGAAATATACCTTTCTCACTATTTGGTTCACAAGTCGAATCAAATTTACGATTTAATGCACTTTTTGATGCAGTATTACTAAAAGCAAAACTAGAAGTAGTACCAAGAATAATTACATTAGTAGTACAAGTAGAACTAGTAGTATTAGAAGTAATTATATTAGTATTAGTTCTGTTTTCTAGATTATTTTCATTAGTATTATTTTCTACTGCCATCCCTAGAAGAGAAAATGTAAATTAAATATATAATGCTATATAAATATTAAATTAAAAGTATGTATTATCAACAAAAAGTATATATACATTCTGTGTGTGTGTGTGTGTGTGTGTGTGTGTGTGTGTGTGTGTGTGTGTGTGTGTGTGTGAATATATATACATTATAAAATAAAATAATTGTATAATATTATACTCATGTTTTGTAACAAAAAATAAAAACATTTTTAAGAAAATAAAATAAAGTAATTAATATTAAAAAATACGAAAATGCATAAAACAACTTTAAAATTCTGTATATATACAAAACATGAGTATAATAATATACAATTATTATATTTTTACTTACTATCGCTTGATTCAGTTGGGGGCTCAGGATACATTATGTCATCATCTGATGAAAATATTTCTGATGTTTCAGATGATACTTCATATTCGCTTTCAGATTTCTTGCACCGTTTCCTTTGTTTTGTACTACTTTTTTTTTTAAATCTTCAGTGTTGGAAGAAAGATTGTTTGTCACTCTTGCTTTATTAGCTTTTCATTGAGCAATTTTATAGGTGCCTACAAAATCATATTTTAAATAAATAATTTACAATTCAATTAAAATAATTATAAAAATAAAAAATTAATACAAAGTGTTTCTAATTAAAAATAAATTATTATAATAAAAGCGATAAATATAATTATTACTTCTATAAAATAGTTGTTACATAAAAATATATATAAAAAAATTGTAAAATATAATTAATGTAAAAGTGTATATAGATATGTATTGTGTGTGCGTGCGTGTGCGTGTGTGTGTAAATGTGTACTTTACCATAAGTGCCCAAAATACTAGCTCCATAGAGCATTCAATTTGCTTCAGGAAAATGTTTGTTCTTTATCAAATTAATTATAGCACTTTTTGTCGTGTCTTCAGGTGGCCAATAACATTGGAATTTTTTTTTCATGTACCAGGTATTCGGTACAGCTTCCACTGTGTTTTCATCATCAAATTTGACGACGAACCAAGTCATCTTATCAGCAGGTTTTTGATATTTGACAACAAAAAGAAATAATATTACATATACATATAAATAAACAAATTATAAAAAAGTAGCTAAATATCAAATTAAAAATTATATAAAATATTATAATTTTTAAGCAAATTAAAATTATGGCATTAATTTATATATGTAAATTATTTATATATGTAATTTATGTATTAATATATATATATATATATATATATATATATATGTCAACTATTTATATATGTAAAAGTGGAAATGAAATAAGATTATTTTTATAAGGTAACACCACCAACTTTCTTTTGATAAAGTTAATGTTCCATACTTGAAGTAAATTACTATCCTTTTTTATATATTGAATATTAAATAAGGATGACGAACATGGCTTTGAATAAAAATTATCTTGCTTAGTATACGTGTAACCTAATAAACATATACAATTTTCACAAGAAGCAAAATTTTTAATTTCAACAATTATATTATTTTTTAATTCTACACATCTGTCAGCTACTTTTGAAATATCTAAACAATAATTATTTGTTTGTATTTTTCTGTATTGTGGAGATGTGCAGTTATTTGTCAAAGGACCATTAAAATGTTCTATTAATAGTTTTATAGAAGAATCATTGCTTGTGATATTAGAGAACACATGTTGAGTAGTAATATTACTTTCCTCAAAAACACGATTTATAACTTGTTCTAAAGGTAGAGCTGATTTACGAATTTTTTTTTTTAATTTTTGCATGTAATTTTCAAAAGGAAAAGCGCTAAAATTATCAAGTGAGCCGTATAATTTTACACAGTCACTTAAATGCAAGAAATTATGTATATTGTGCGATACAAAGTCTGGACCGTAAATTTTAATAGACTGACAAATAAAATGTTTCATTAAATTATTAGCATATAATATATTATTTTCAAATCTCGAATACTCTTGACTTATCATTATACAACTTGTAAGACTTAATGTAATGAAATTATTATAGACTTTGGATGATAAAACTTGTTTTAAAACTATAGGTCCAGTATATAACAAAAAAAGTCTAAATTCTGTAGCTTTATATCTTTTACACTCAAGTATGGAACGTGTTTTTCTACAAAATTCATAAGGAATATATCGTTTTAGTTTTAAAAGATTTTCTGAAATTTTATTAACATCACGAGCTCGTAATTTATAAGGTTGTTTACTATAATCTATTGGTACATTATCTATCACATTAAAATTTGGTATATCTAACAGCCTACTAGTACCAATATGATGTTCAGGTTGAGCATATGTTCTAAATAAATTATCAGTTCTTTTACAAATACGCTCTGTTTCAGGAAAACATAATACACGATTAATCATATCACCTTCTTCGTCACATTTTGTGCATGAAAAATGACCTGTATGATTTTTTATTGCTAAAACATATGATTTTGCCGGTGAATCACAAATTAACATTAAAATTCGAAATTTATACTTAAAAGAATTTATTAATAATCCATTAGTCGACAAATTAATACATTCATTTACAAAATCTTTTAAAAAGTCATTTGCAGATTTTGGTTTCTCTGGGCCGTGATATAAGGCAACTAAAAAGACTTCTTTCATAAGAATTTTTATTGATTTTATCGAGCATAAAATAGGCCAAAGTGAGCTATTCGAACTTTTACTTAAAGGTAAACCATCAACATTAACCGCTAATAAAAATTCTTCATTTTGTGATATGTTAATTTTATGATTTTTACAAAACAAATTTAATGTTTTTTCTATTCCAAAATAAAAATATGTCCCATGACCTAAAGGTGTTACATTTACTTTACTGGGTGTTTTAACGAGCGTTCTTGGATCTTTTGGTATATTATTACATCCCGGTATTTTTCGTATTATAGGAAGTAAAGTTTTTAATGCCGATAATTTTACATTTTCTTTTATAGCCCATGTAGCTAATTTTGAAGTTAATGTATTATTTTTTATAGTTTTATCGTTATATCTAAGATTTAATAATTCGACATCATTATTAGATAACTCATCATTACTATATAAAATATTTAAATCATTATTACATGGAACATTTATATCATCATTACTATATGAAATATTTATATCATTATTACATAGATCGTTTACATCAATGTTTGTATCATTATTAGTAGACAAATTATTATGAGAATTATTATTAATATTACGAGATAATACAGAATTATTGTTAATTAAGGTTAAAGATCGATTTAATTTATTTTGAAGTCTTCTATGAAACTTAATTTTGTTTTTTTTCTCTACCTTCATGGCAAATTTGAGTTAAAAACGTAGCTACAAAAACACGTGGTCGAAACACAAAGTAAAAAATATGTGTTTTATATGTATAATGGTATACTTACTTTAAAAATAAAAATTTCTTTTATAATATAATAGTCGCACGTAGATACTATAGCTTAAATACACATATGTATTTTGCATTCAACACTATATAGACTTTTGACGCGAAAGAACACAGAGCTCGCAGCGATATGCAGGAACTGTATGATCTGCTCAACGCGACCGCGACAAACGACGAGCGATGTTCTTGCGCGTATCACGTATCAGCACGTGAACACGTGATCGGCAGACTCTATATTTTTTAAGGCCCAATAGAGAATAGAGAAAATCACAATAGAGAAACACAACATCGCACAATGGAGAAAATCTTCATATACTCACAATATAAAAATAGAGCAACAGGAACTATATTTTTATATTGTGCGAGTATTGGCTTTATAAATACATAGTATTACGTCCCTGCTTCGCTACGAGCGGCGCAGGAACGCGAAGCAGAGACGTAACAATATTATATAAATAAGAGAGAAACGACGGTATTCATAATCCGAACTCATTTAAAATCGTCTTAAGATCTCATTCAATCAATGAAATAACGCTATACGACCATTTTGAATGGGATTTTAAAACAATCTTAAATATAAGATCGGACTATGAATCCAAAAAAATCTCTCTTTTTCTTTTTATTTAATATTTATTCCTATTTCTAATATTTTCTTAATACTTTATTGTGTGTTAAGCAGCAGATGACGTTAATTGAAGCTAAAATAAATTATCGATACTTTCTACATTACTATGATTGATTATTAATAACATTACTTCATATAACATTAAACGTTTCTAGATGTATGTATATTCTATGAATATACATCTTACTTCCATGACATAAAAATAATATACTGTATGTCGAATGTTCATACATTTCATATACATGATTTGGATATACATTGCAATATATAATATGTTTATTTATTAATGTATTTTATACGTACACACAACTCATGTATGTACATACATTGTATATAAAATGTAGATACATAATATATATCTTAATTACCATACGTATATATATATATATATATATATATATATACATATATATATGAGTTCGGATTATACATATACATATACATATATACATATATGTGGGACTGATTTTAGTAAACGAATATACGTGTAAGTGTATGTGTGTGTGTTCGTCAAATGTAGTTAAGTGTGTTATGCCACACCGCGTCTAAAAACACCGCGCTCTAAACAATTAGCGATAACGCAACGAGATCGATATATAAAAGATTTACGAGTTTGTTGTAAATATACTTCTTCCTTTTTAAAGAAGACCGCGCAAGAGGCTACAAGACTTGATATTCGAGCACAGCGAGCTGTTGAGCAAATTAAGCGGGAAGCACACTTTTGCATAAACGCATAACGCATAAGAGAATCAACCAATCAGAATCTCTTATTTCTATTCTATCTCAGGATAGAAATCAAGAATTCTAATTCCTACATATATACATATGTTATATTACATACAATAAAGTATATATAAACTACATAATTACATTTCACATACGTAGTACATATAAGAACTGTATGTACATATGGAATACATCAATAAATATACATCTTATATATTGTAATGTATATCCAAATTATGTATATGAAATATATGTACTTAGAGATTATAAAACGCATGTATACATGATATACAGCAATGTATATGTATATTACAAACGGTAAAGTATATAAAAACTATGTATCTATATTTCACATACATTATACATACATAAACTGTATGTATATATAAAATACATCATTGAATATACTTCTTACATATTGTAATGTATATTCAAATTATGTATATGAAATGTATGTATTTAAAGATTATAAAATGTATGTATATATGATGTACAGCAATGTATATACATATTACATACAGTAAAGTATATAAAAACTCTGTATTTACATTTCACATACACTATACATATATAAACTGTATGTATATATAAAATACATCTTTGAATATACTTATTATATATTGTAATGTATATTCAAATTATGTATATGAAATGTATATATTTAGAGATTATAAAACGTATGTATATATGATGTACAGCAATGTATATACATATTACATACAGTAAAGTATATAAAAACTCTGTATTTACATTTCACATGCAATGTACATACATAAACTGTATGTACATATAAAATACATCAATGAATATACATAATACATATTGTAGTGTTTATCCAAATCATGTATATGAAATGTATGAACATGCAACATACAAGATATTATTTTCATGTTATGGAAGTAAGATGTATATTCATAGAATATCTAATGTTATATGGGGCGTTGCGTGTTTTTAAATTTATAATGAGCGAATTTCTTTTCTTTAGTAAGAATTATTAGATCTTTAGAAAACCAGGCGGGATAAGTCGATCTTCGCGGCAAGTATCTTGGAACAAAAGCAGTAATTGCGTAATCGAGGTGACTATAAAATCTATCGCGCTATTAACATCCAGGTGACTTAGTTCATCATCCCACATAATATTTCCTAAGTAATTATTTATCTCTTCATAATTAGCACGCTTGAAGTTAAACCTCCATTCAGAGAGCGATGAAAAGGACAATGGTCCCGTTGACATCGGCAAAGAGATTGTGATGGCAGGATGGTAATGATCACAGGTACATATTGACTCCGATATCGGATGAACCGAGACATCCCGCAAATAAGAAAAGACAAGATCGAGTATATTACGATTTATGTTGACAATATTATTATATTGGCGAAGATTGAATTCATTAAAAAAATGTAATATTGTATTTGCCTGTTCTGTCATATGATAATGATTAGAACGATTATCACCATTGTTAGATCAAAACGCATTAGGCAGATTATAATCGCCAATTAATAAAATATCTGCATTAGACGATTTTACTTCCTCAACCGAAAGACAGTGTGTTCGTTTCACCCGCATCGATGAGTGATTTCAGTTGAGATTGTAATTCATGTAGATGTTTCCTCTGTTTTAACGTTTGGTCTTGTGAGATTTTTATAGGGCCAGCATAACGGTACTTATTCCGAAGTATAAACAAAGCTTCTTGTTTTTAAGGAAGAGAAACACGCAACGGTCTAGAGTGACCTAGGCGCTTTTGGCCTAATCTTAAAATTTTATTTATCTGAGGAGTTTTCCCTGAATTAATCTTCCGAATAATCTCACTAGCAAGATCAACGTCGTTACAGCCCCCGTCCTCAGCTTCATCCATATTGTAAAAGATTAGGTTTGCTGTCCTTCTCTCTCTATCCTCCAGCTCTTCAATGATGTCCTCCTCCAAAAAATGATGATGCCTGAGGCTGCGACTTATTTAAGAGGTTTTCGAGTTGCTCCACTCTATTGCACAATCCCTGGATATCGTTATTCAATTTATCAATTTCAGCCCGATACAATTCTCTCATCTCCCTGCGGAAGTCTTTGAACTCAGCATGCAATAAATCTTTCATTGCATCGAGAAGAGTGGAGTTCATATCTATCTGTTGCGACGCGCGGGATGTCGAAGCAATCCCGAGCAATCTCCAAATTGACCAGTAAAATGAGGGTGTCCAGTGCGGGAGAAGCATGCAGGATGAGATGCAATACCGCAGGTTTTGCAGCTAATTGATTTTACAACGATTGTACAGCCCTTGCACGTTTTTCTACCATCCATGATCGATAGAAATAAAATTAAATCGAGAAACGTACGAGACTAGAGCAGAGAATAAATACGTCTGTCCTTCGTCGCTGTAAATACTGTACTATGTATATTAATTATAATATAATATAATTGTAAAAGTATAATTATCTTATAACATTTTAATAGATTATTCTTCTTTAAAGTTAATTATAATTAGAAATTTATTTTTAGTTAAGCAAATGTTTTATATATTTAATTTTGAAAAATCTGAGTGCCTTTAAATATTCTATAATTTATAATTTATATTATTTATTATATTTATAATTATCTATAATTTATATTCTATAATTTATTGTCATGTTGAATATTATGTAGTCACTTTATCCAACTAGATATATTAAAAGATGCATTTCGAGAAGAATCGATTTTAATATATCTTACAATTAGACTTGTTCATATAATATTCTACTCTTTTTCCGTGTTTTTATTGACTAAAACCAATTTGAAACTATCTATATAACTTTTATATTTAGATCTTATTATTAAAATTAGTATTTTAATACGTGATTACTTTAATTAAATATAATTTACTTATTATATTAACGATGATTTTTTTTAAATTCTTTATATAAACAATTTTTTAAATCATTTTTACCTTTTATTTCGTACTAATATATTTTTTATTTTTTGTATTAAATTATTTTGTAGTAATATATACTTACGTCATTTAACATGATTTTAACTGCTTCTTCGGTATGTCCAGATATAACTACAAGCTTAGGTAAATTATTATTTGTTTCATTAACTTTAATTTTCGGATTTGATTTCAATAATATATGGGAATTAGCACCTTGCGCATTATATCGATGTTTATGCGCACTCGTCGCCATCAATATGCTCTTATATTTTTGCGCATCGTCCTCAGTGTATATGGCGTCATTGGGAATTCTCATGAAGATCAACTCGTATAATCCCGATGTACCGATGTATCTTACATTGTCTATGATTATAGAGTCATCTTTGTCAATGCCGAATCGTTTGTTACCAAATCCGAAAGAATTAATACCGATGTAGCCACCCTTCCATTCTGTCGGTTCAGAAACTATTTTTACTCTTCCTTCAATGATAGCAGTCATATTCTTTCGTGGATGTTTAAAATGTATAGTAGGAGGAATTATATTAGTTTCCATCGCTATTAAAACCTTTACAAAGGAAATATATTTATTATAATATACATATATAATAATATCTTAGTTTTATAATTATAATAAATAATCAATAAATAATAATTATAATGAATAATCAAAAATTACAGATAAAAAAGATACATAAGTTTACATAGCATTAAATTACATAGATGTTTCAACTCCATTTTGTAAATCTTTGTTGTAAATTTACCTTTGCAATTTGACAATGACCGCTAACGGGTTCAGAATGTCCAATATTCGATTTTACTGAACCCATTAATAGAGGAAAATCTCTTTTGATGCATAAAGCTTCGTCGATTGCTTGAAACTTCACTGGATCGCCGGCTACAGTGCCAGTTGCAAGCGCCATGAGCTTCTAGATAAGACAGCTCACGAGGCGAAACGTTACAATCTTTGTAAAATTCTTCCAATAATAATTTTTGTTTATCTAATGATGGAAAAGTAATTCCCTCTTCTTTAAAATCATCGCAGTTGGCTTTACCATAAACAAAAGTCGCATAGATTCTTCTTGCATCCTTTGCTTTTTGCAAGAACACTACTGTAGCCGCCTCACTACGCATGTAACCGGTACCTTCTTCATCGCAAGGTTTACAGTAGCCATCGGCGGATAAAACTCCTAAAATAATATTAATAATTTATTCGATTGAATATGAAAATTGTAATTTACTTTTCTGTTCTCGGTGTCTTAATTAATTTATCAGATATTTGAAAAATTTGATAAATATGTTAAATAAGCGAATCAATTATATTGATATATTTTGAAAAGAGAAACTATTAGATCAAATATATTGTATTAATTAATGCATCAATAAATAACTTTAACCATTTTTAACACTCTCTCGAATACAACATCTTTAATCATAGTAATATTATTTTTGATATACCCAGAAGATAAAACTGTTGAGTTACTTGAGGATAAATGCACAAACTGACACTAGCGACAATAGCTGCATCGCAATATTCAGATCGAATCAAATTGTAAGCTTTTACCATAGTCAAACTGCTCGTGCTACATGCAGTATCGATGTTATACGATGGTCCAGTAACGTTGAGAAAGTAAGAAATTCTATTTGCCAACATACTTTTACTGCAACCAAGCATGGGTAATCCAGCAATCTAATTATAATACAGTTTTTATATAAAAAAAAATTTTTGTTACAATATCCTTGTATATACATATTAATACATTTATATAGTTTTAAGAGTGTTTTTTCTATTGATTTTAAGTAGTTAAATTATTCACATACATGAGTCTGGAATAATAAAATTATTGACATACATGAGGCTTTTCGTATATTACATTGAGAGATGTTTCAGAATTTGACATTGCTGTGACAACTTCCGTCCTTGTTCCTTGCAATTCTGCAGGATTGACACCTGCGTCAATAATTGCTGCATAAGTGTTTTCGAGCAATATTCTAATTCCAGGATCAAGCGTATGAGCTTCTTCGATCGACATATTAAAAAATTTCGCATCAAATTTTTCTATATTGTCCATTTTTCCCATTTGAGCAGGCATTTCATAAGCATCTGTCAAAATTTAAAACGATTATATGAAAATAACATATATTTAAATCATAAATAAGAACAGCGTTCTTAAGGATGGGCAAGATATTTTTAACGATAAACGACATTTTTTGATTATTTTTCATTTTAATATCAAACGCAAGAAACTTTCGAACATGTTATAATAAAATTGATTTATATAAGTATAAATTGCATGTAGAATATTAATTATCAATTTTAATGTTATATTTATAAGTAAACCGTATAGATACTGTAAATTCGTGAATATCATTAATACATGTTTTAGGAGATATAAATATTATCTTTTTAAATATAAAAGATAATATTTATATCTCCTAAAACATGTAATGCAACATCTTTTAAATAAAGAATAATGATATTCTTACCCAGGAAAAAAGTTTATACATATAATTATATACATAATTATGTATAAAATTATGTATAAAATATACCTACATCCATATGTATACCTATATACATATATATGTTTTCTTATTCTTGTACTCTGCTGCGTATATACAGAAAAAAAATAAAAAAGAATAATTGGTGAATAATTAAAAGAATCATTTTTTCATTTCTTTTTTTAGCAAAATGTGATTTGAAGAAATAAAAAGGTCCTATGTGTAGTCAACTCTTTCTTTTTATATAATTATATATAGATCTGTTAGTTTCTTATATATTTATTTTAATCTTTTAATCTTTTAAGTAAAAACGTACAATCTTAAGAATAGGCAGCGAAGAATATAAAAAAAAGGATATACAAAAGAACGGAAAACTATTTTTAGCGCCACATCCCGGCTTATTATCATTGGTCGAACCAATCAGAGAGTTTGCTGTCTAGTGAGATTAAATAATAAATGTTTAGCCAATAGAAGACTCGAGTCGGTCGCTATACACAACAAGATTATTTATCCTCAATACTTTTCCACAATTTTATTTATTTTTTATGTAAAAATTTTAATTATTTTCTAAATTATTCTTTATTTTTGTATATAGAAATAGAGATTTACAAGAAACATAGATCGATATATGTATTCTGTATATACTTTAACTTATTTTACTTATTTATTTAATTTATTATATATTATTGTGTAAACTTTTTCCCAAGATAGAGAAAAAAAATTTGAGAAAAAATATTACAGTTGGTCCAGCGATGATCTTCCGAACCAAGATCCATTTTATTGAAAAGATTTTCCTGAAATTCTTTCATATTATCAGAATTAGGAAATCGTCCAGCGATACCAGAGATAACTATTACTTCCCCCGCATCAACGCTGACATATGGATTGAACCGTTTATTATTATTATTCATTTTTTACAAATTCTAATAAATCTGAAAAAAGATATTAGAATTTTATTTCAGAATTATATACATATAATTAGAAAGACGGAGAATGAAATTTATAGTTGACATATAGAAATAATCTTTGAAATAATTTACTCAAAAATTAATAAAAAATATATAAAGAAAAAAGCAAGAAAAGAATTTGTACTCACATTCAAAAATTTAAAAAAAGTTTTTTATGAAAGCAGCACTCAGCGATTTTAATAAACTAGAACAATACAGGCGCGCGCTACGTGCGCGCTATTTATTTTTTACAATTAATACTACATATATATATATATATATATATATATATATATACAATATATATATACAGGGTGTCCCGAATTTAAATGTCATAACTTCGGGAGCGTGTAGGGGATCGATAAACTAAAAGAAAAAGTAGTATAGAGATATGCTCGTTTTTGCTTCGTTTTGGAGAAAATCGCAAAAAACATAAAACGTAGTTTTTATTTCTGTACTTATTTATTACTTTTTAATTCATATTTATTCATTTTTTTTTTATTTATTTATTTTTTTTTAATAAATATGAATTAAAAAGTAATAAATAAGTACAGAAATAAAAACTACGTTTTATGTTTTTTGCGATTTTCTCCAAAACGAAGCAAACACGAGCATATCTCTATACCACTTTTTCTTTTAGTTTATCGATCCCCTATACGCTCCCGAAATTATGACATTTAAATTCGGGACACCCTGTATATGTATATATGCAGGGTGTCTGCTAAACATGCGGCAAAAATTCAGGGGGTGATTTATTGGGTTATTTTAAGACTTTTTTGTTATCTGATGATTTTCGAAAAAATGCTTTGTTTCGAAAATAAAAGCAATAAAAGTTTTTTGACCAATTTTTTATTCCATAGATAACAGACGATACAGGTTTTTTTCAAGTATTAACGTAGTCTAAATAAACGTAGCAAGCTAGTGCAGATGTTGAAAACAATAACAAAATTTGTTTATTTGCCATTGATAGTTAAATTTTTGTTAGTGTTCATGAATCGCTATACGAACGCTGAGATGACTGACATGCATTTCATGTATGGTCTTACCGATGGAAATTCATTACGGGCTAGGCGATTGTACATTGAACGATTTCCCAACTGTAATGTCAATAATTTTGTTTAAAAACCTGTATCGCCTGTTATCTATGGAATAAAAAATTGGTCAAAAAACTTTTATTGCTTTTATTTTCGAAACAAAGCATTTTTTCGAAAATCATCAGATAACAAAAAAGTCTTAAAATAACCCAATAAATCACCCCCTGAATTTTTGCCGCATGTTTAGCAGACACCCTGTATAATATATAAATTATATTACATAAAATATATTATAAAATATATTATTAAAATATATTATATAAAATATATTATTAAAATATATTACATAAATTATATTATATAAAATAAGTATATAAATACTATATTAAATAATGAGGAGTATAATTAAAATCATTCACATGTTCTGATATAAATATATTTCAATTATTCAAATTGAAGTAATAGAGCTCTATACATTTTGATTTACTTCACATTCTTCTCAATGGTTCAAATTAAAAACAAACCAGCTGAGTTTTTGACGTTATTTTTATGTATTAATATTAAACTTATTTTTAGTTTGATGTTCTACAACTTTTTCATTAAAATAAATTTTTAACACAATATTATGTTTTGTAGATCTATGTCATATATTATAATTTTATATGACACTGTATTTATAGTTTTTTTATTTTTGTGTCTATTGTGCTTGCTTAATCATACTAATAAATTTTTCATTATTATTATTATTATATTACACAATTATACAACGTAATCAATATTTTTGTTGCATCATACCAAATCTAAAAGTATTATAATACTTTTTTCACAATTTTATTTGTTAAGAAGATATAGAAAATTGAAATATTTAGATTTTCATCTTCATTTATTGTAATGTACTATATAGCATGAGATATCTATTACTTTATATACTTTAGATATCTATTACTTTATCTATTACTTTATATACTTTCTCAATGTTTATTATATACTTGATTATTATAAACTTTATTAATTTGTAAAAAATTATATAATATGTTATATGAAAAGTTATTACATATAAAAAAATTGAATGATTTTGAGCAGATGCTAATTATGTATTATATTTCTTATAAGTAAAAATTTATAACTTTTATAAGTTTAAAAGTTTTATATTTTAGAGATTTGAAGATTAAAAATTTCATTTTTTTTAAAATAAAGCTCTTTAAGTGAACCTTACTTTTTTATATAAATGGATTTTATAATATTTAAACAATTATAAGGATAAAATAAGTAAAAATTGAATAGTTTAGTTTATTATCTATAGTTTGCATATTTTCTATATGTTTTATTTTAAAAATATATAATTGTAAAATTTTAATTTAAAATTTTTTCCGAAATATTTACGCTATCTTGCAATTGTGTTGGCAATTTGTTCTTTGCAATGTCTTTGTAATGTTTCATTGCAATTTGCAAAATTGCAATGGAACATTACAGAGACATTGCTACAATGTAATTGTAATAATTTGTATTGTATGCAGGTTCTCTCGTTTTATCATAGATATAGAAATATTTTTAACTCACTCCAAAACGTAAATCTAGCTACATCTATGGCAGGGAATCGAACGTCTGGTCCATGGGCCGGATCTTCGACACCCCTGATCTATGGTATGTCTGTTATGCCTATATATACTACGATGTGGTAAGAGATAACGATATAAATTTCGTTGTACTGATGAGAACCTGCCATTTCCAGTTTGACTGCGATAAAATAGTAAACGATTAAGTGTTAATACGCGAAGTATTAAGTACACGATTAAGTGTAAGTATACGATTAAGTGTAAGTACACGATTAAGTGTAAGTACACGATTAAATATAAGTACACGATTAAGATTGTGATTAAGATTTTGCGATTAAGAAAGAAATATTCAAGAGAGAACCTGAGAGAGATACATATAAAGTTTGTTGAGGTAAGTTTACAATATTATAAATGCTTTCTAACAATATGTACAATGCTTCGATTTTATAACTTTTATTAACGACAATAGCATTATTGTTAATATTATTGTATATATATTTTGATGTTAAAATATGTATAATACACGATAACGATAGTGATATTGTCGTTAAAAGTTATAAAATCGTAGTATAAATAATACCGTATAATATAGTATATATATACAGGGTGGGGCATTTATCTTGAGACAAGATAATATCTCGATTGGAGTCGATTATTTTGAAAAAAGTTTTAGACAAAAGTTGTAGGGCATTAAAGAGGCTATCGAAAGGTTTATATTACAACTTCCGGTCTAGACCGGAAGTGGCGTTTTTTGATCAGAATTCGTTTTTTTAAATGGAAACACCCATTTTTTGCCGCGGATTTCGATTGGAAATCGAAAAAAAAATACTTTTTGTTCTTATTATTTTTTCGATTTAACCCATATTTTGGCCATAAAAAATAAAAAAACACAAAAATCTTGAGATAACGGAGTACCTTATTGGAATCCCTTTTTTAACTTTAAGGTTGAAAAACTGTACAACTATTAACTACTTTTAGCACTACCCAGGAATAACGACGTGGACGTAGTAGTTTTTTATCCCCTTTGGGGTGCTTGTTTTAGGTGAGTCCCCTTGCCTCTCACAATTTGGTATGATTGTCTTATCTGTTTGAAATTAATTTAATTTAATAAGTGCTCAAATTGGCGACCTTCGACTTCAATGCACCGAATTCAATGCATTGATCCGAACTTCCATAGATCGTACACAACTGCGGAGTACATCAGGTGATATTTTGGCACAAGCATTTCGGATTCGTTGCATCATATTTTCACGAGATGTTGGCACTTCTTTGTAAACTTCGCTCTTTATGTAACTCCATAAATAAAAGTCTGGAGACGTAAGGTCTGGAGATCTTGCTGGCCAATTTACTGGACCCCCTCTACCGATCCAGCGTCCATTGAATTCGCGATCCAAAACTTCACGAGCAGTTCGGGAGTAATGCGATGGACATCCATCGTGTTGAAACCACATTTGTAGTCTTACATTTAAGGGTACGTCCTCAAGTAAAAGCGGAAGTTGATTTTGTAAAAAATTACGATATGTTTCGCCGTTTAAATTGCCTTCAATGAAGTATGGACCTACTATCTTGTCACCAACTATTCCACAACAAACGTTCACAGACCATTGACGCTGATGCTCAACTTCACGTAACCAATGTGGATTTTAAATACTCCAGTAGTGCATGTTATGTCTATTAACCGTGCCGTGGTTCGTAAAAGAGGATTCGTCTGAAAATAGGACTTTAGCAAAGAAATTAGGATCTTGTTGTATTTGTTGACATGCCCATTGACAAAAGATAACTCGGTTCTGAAAATCATTATCATGAAGTTCTTGGTGCAACGAAATGTGATAGGGATGATATTTATAACGTTTTAATATCCTGCCTACACTACGTCGCGAAATTCCAGAATCGCGTGCAATTTGTCGAGTACTGACATGAGGGTCAACATTTACTGCAGCTAATACAGCAATTTCATTGTCAGTTCCAGTAACTAGGTTTCGACGGGCTCTTTTTCTCTTAGACACATTTCCCTCTTGTAGAAATTGTGTAACAACCCGATAAAAACATGCTCGAGATCGCACGTTATCCGGAAAACGTTCAGCATAAAGTGTAACGGCATCGTCAACATTTCTACCACATTCACCATAAATAAGAATCATTTCTATCTTCTCTTCTACAGAAACAGCCTCCATTTTAAAAAAAGTTTTGCACTGACAAAATTTGAAAAGATAATCTGATTTCAGAAAAAAAATTAGGATAAATAAAATGGGGTAAATATCCCCTATATTAAATTTAAAAACTCACGAAAAAAGAAAACGAAAATACAAAAAAATGTCAATTATGCCTTTTCAAAGTAATCCGTTATATCTTTTTCTAGTTTATTAAGTTTAGA